AAAAAAAAAAAGAGAGGAGATTCTAGGCTCAGAGAAGGGACATGCAACTCTTCGTTTCCACTCCATCTGGAGTCTGGACGCTATTTTGACTATGATGTGGAATTTCCCCTTGGCTATGATCACAAGGAAGGGGTAATTTTTGTTGTTTGTCAAAATAGCGTCCAGATGGAGAGGTGGTCTTAGGTCTAAGATCTACGGAAGAGAAGAGCTTCACCGGCCCTGTCCATACTTTGTTACGTGGGTGTTTTGTTGGCGTATGATGGGGGGTTAACATGCATTTTGTAGAGTTTTCCGTCCGGTGTGGGTGAGCGATAGTCTGCTTTGTTAGAAGCTCATCACAGGTACCTTGAAGGCAGTGGTTGCTGTCCACCCTCTTGGAGGGGTATCAGTTGTGGGCGGATGACGCTTAGCCGCAACCGGGGGTTAAGGGGGACTATCACTTTCAGTATCATCGGTAAGGGGACTCTGCAGACTGTAGAGGGTTCAGCAGCCTCCTGACCAGTCAGTCAGTGAAGCTTCGACGAAACAAGTCTGTCATAGCCCCTCGATTGGTGTCCTCTTCTCCCAGCATATATCCATGGTACAACTGCTGCTTTCTTTCATAGCAAAATCACAGGCCTGCTTATAAAGTAATATAAACTCTTCTCTGCACACAGATGCTCGACCTGCTTTTATGCCTCTCATGCCTATGGACTTGCTTGCTTCCCTCATTGCCTCCCAGCTGCTTCGGACTTGTTGCTTGTATCCCTCCCATGCCTATAGACTTGCTTGTATGTGCCATTTGCTTGTATGCCCTCCCATTTGCTTGTGACTTGCTTATATGCCTCCCAGTTGCTTCTGACTTGTTGCTTGTAACCCTCCCATGCCTATGACTTGCTTGTAACCCTCCCATGCCTATGACTTGCTTGTATGTACCATTTGCTTGTATGCCCTCCCATTTGCTTGCGACTTGCTTATATGCCTCCCATGCCTTTGACTTGCTTGCATGCCTCCCATTTGTTTGTGACTTGTGTGTATGCCTCCCAGGTGAGGCTCCCCACCAATAGATGGAGCGGCCAACAGCAGGACTGCCAGGCGAGGCTGCTCATATCACCTACACTAGCAAGCCAAGCTAGGCTTTCAACAACAACAAAAAAAAAAAAAAAAAAGAAAGGGTGGAGGTAGGGAGGAAGATGGGGGGAGCGGGAAGGGAAACCAGGTGCCCGCTGACCGCCGACCCCGACCGCCGACCCCGACCGCCGACCGTATTGCAGCCGACCAGTAGGGCCGACCGGTCGGCGGTCTGCCGACCAGTCAGAAAACAACCATCCACT